AAAAAAAAGCCCTAACATTCTCATTGATCCCATCCTTTCAGTAGGATAGCCTTTAAGGTCCACTCAGACTTCACTATAGTCGGGTTATCATTGTTAATGCCAATCAGAAATTTAATATTTGATGTTAGGGTGGATTTCTGCTTCTCAAAAACAATTTAATCCATCAGTGAAAAACCAAGACCACAGTATAATCAGCAAATTAGGGCCATCACTGCAGAATTATTTCTAATGTTATCACCATGATTAYCAGTACTCTATCATGCACTACATTACAAATGTGTCATTACAGAACATCAAGCACTTCAAAAAACACCTYAAATCTATTCAATAACAATTCTATCATCTTCATCCCCACTCTCTTTTTCTCCATCACTRGCAGTACTAAAGAAAAGCAAGGATGAATCCCAGGCTTTTGATTCATCCTGAAAAGAGAAGATMGATCACAAATTTTGGATCACACTAAAAAACTTAGAGAAAATCTTATGACCTGAAAGCAGAACATATAATAAATAAGGATATGTGTTGAAGAGTCAATGGTGTTGCTATTTTGAATAGACCAAGTACTATAATCCTAGGCATGGTATCACATGAGTGGGAAACAGAGACTTGAAAAATAGCTGAGCATAAGTAATCTAATGCTTGAAGTAAACAGAAAATTCATAATGATACATGATGCTGCAACCCAAAGGAGATGCCATAGATGCTCCTCCATCTAGAATACTTTAGCTCCCTGAAATTGCATAGATCGCCCAAAGTTAGAAAACTGTGTTTTTTCCTTTAGCACAAACTTATCACACTGTGACTGATTGGATAGAATTTGAGCTTTCTTTCAATTAAGACTCTAGGCTTTTTGCTTCATATTTTGTCACAGTTGATCTGGATAGCAATGAAGCCTGTAAAAATGACAAGTACAGGAAGAGATTCATGAAAGYGATAATGATTGCTGTAATGTCCAACTATACCATCAATKGAGCAGCCATGTGACTGGATAAGTTTTAGGGTTTGTTTTCCAGGTTTTGTTTGGATTTTTTTCCCTTCATTGGGCAGTCGTAACAAGAATGTTTGACTAAAAAGACAAAATAATACAAAAAGCTTTCCYACCCTGACACAATAAAATGAAAAAATTATGAGACATAAAGTAATTAAATACAGTAACAGAATCTTTTTACTGAAGCTCAATTGCAACATGTCAAAAGAGAGACCAGACAACTATGTCTATTAAATGATTATCAAATTGTTATCAWCATGATATTTTAACTCCTGAGGAAGTAAAGCAGCAGCATCCTGCATATGGACATTGATTTCACTCAAAACTACTCATATCTCAAGGGAAAGTAGTCAGCAGTTCAGGCAGAAATTTGGGCATGCCTCTAAGCCAACACCCTTAAATTAACATTATTTATATATCTCGTCATCACACAGACGAGATTTTCTTTCAAGTAGAAAAACTTTCATTTTTTATTATAGATATTGCTAGTGAAAACACATTTCTTCTCCCTACAGTTAATGTTGATATGCYAAATATCCTACTTAGAAATACCTGGACCAATAACACCCTTGAAGTTTGCTCCATCCATTAACAGGTCCAAATGAGAACAGTGAACAGTTATCAAGGCAGACTTAGATTAATAATGTAAATTTACACAACATTGAATGGCAGGTACCAAAATAAACTAGTTCAGCTTCACCTCATGACAGAAGTGTTTTAAAGTTAGTCTTTCCTCCTCCTTAATGTCTAAGGAAATCCTAACAATCACAGAAGAAGCCGATGTGTACCACAGGATTCCTGAACAAAGGGAAGAAYTTACCTATTGAGTTTTTAAATATGTAAAAGTGAAACATTAGAAGAGTGAGTGTATTTTTTACTTGAAACATTTCTCATCTATCACTSTCTTCATACCTAAAATCATCAGCTTAATATTAAAATAACAATAATCACACCTGAAGGCCTTGTCCATCTACGGTGACAGAATTTGCTCTTTGCATTTTRTTCCGTTCTCCCAGTTTGTTCATTTGCTGGGGACAACTCTTYTCTTTTTTCACTGTTGACTGTCTTTCCTTGAAAAGAGAAAAGGAGAAAAGGGAACATTTTAAAACATTATATAATGCTATATAACTGTAACTGAGATTGTACCTCCACAAAGTTGTTTTTTGGCTAGCAAATCATGTCAGACTSCTTTAATGAAAATGAGATCTCAGTCAAGTTAATACACAATGTCTGGACACTTCACATAACATCTATCTATGTGCCTGGACATTCCATAATGACTAGGCAATAGATGGATGAAAAGTGTGCAGTCACAACACAAATTAATGCAATGATGTGAAAAGATAATCTGGCATTACCAGGGTGCTATTCTGAAACTTGAAARCCAATCATACAATATACTTGATTGTTTAATAAGCACAATTGATAAGTAATGAGCAATTTACCAAAATTTCATCCTGACTGCTAGCRAAGGTTGGATGCTTCAGAGTACTTTACCACTTTGGCAAAAATATACCTAGTTTAAATGTACCATAATCAATTGGCTGAATCGCTTTTTATAAAATACATATTTAGTATCAGAAGAAAACCAGAATCTAAATCAGATTCTAAGATGTGGCCAACTTTTGATGCTGATACACAGCACAATGAGATGGCTGTTTGAAAGAGAAAAACCCAGGAYAAAATTGTTGCAATCATATTTTCAACTGTTATCAGGCCATTTCAGAGAACTCTGCATGGAAAAACAATATTCTCGTTCTTTGTATCTCATTTGTTCTACTTATAAACTGCACCCAGCATGTCCTTTTAGGTTATCTGAAAACTGCACCATAAATTAAGACAGCAGATATTTATCAAACAAAACCAGTATCTCCAACCCCAACTGCAMCCCAGCCACTTTCCTTGCTTCACAAGTGCAAGGATGTTTCAAGCTAGTCAAGGGAATGGGCTGGCACAAAGCTGCTGCACTAGAAAGGAGCATGAAGGGCATTGCTGCACCCCTTGCAACTGCATTCAGTTAAAAATGCTTCCATTTAAATTCCATACCAGGCCAAACCCATCTCTGTGATACCTCTGATAAAGCCTTAGGGATTGGAGCACCAATCAATCCATGAAATTCTCTCAGGAGCAGTTTGTACTGGCAAGAAGCACTGWCACAAATTCTGCGAGGAAAGGAATAACTCCCAAGTTAACACAGTGCCTTCTAAAACAGATGTGGACCCTGACTGTTTTTATACCATCCTTAGTTTAATTGAGAATGACAGAGTCTCAACCTAGTCCTGACACAACGAGTGGTCCAGGCCATCCTAGACTTCTTTGGGTAGCCAGGTGCTTGGGGTGACTGCGACAATCTGACCACATTTTGTACAAAAGGACTGACAAACCTATGCCACAGGAAAAAAACAACCAGGGCAGTCTACACAACTGTCTGAATGCAGTGAGATTGGTAAGATTGGTTAATGAGGCTCTTGAATACTTTGAGCAACTTGACTGATGCCAGACAAGGTCCAAGACTCTAGACTGCAATGTCACTGGTTTAATGAGAAAACAGTAGAAGCAATTAGAGCTGTTCATTTCATCTTTAACCTCAGAAACAAAAAYACCGTACACAGCACTGCCTAAGAAATCACCAACTCTGCACTTGTTTGTTTGATGATTCTTTTTCAGAAAGTAGAAATAGGATGAGGCACACAAATAAAACTTTTGAACACAAAATATTTTGCACAACAGTATTGGTTAATGCCAAGGATAGCAAGTAAGATACTTCAGTATGAAGGAATCTTCACACTTCATTACATATTTAAGAAYTTGCTTAGAGGTTTTTTAACAACTTTTTTGAATAGCTACCCTTAAAAGTCACTACCTTTTATAATAAGGAAGCATACCATTTCAAAWAGGATTTTATATTGTGGCCAAATCAGGCTCTTGAATACTGCAACATCTTCAAAAATCAAATCAGATGTCATTAAAGCAGAGAAAAAAGCTAATAAAAATGTAATTTCTAACAAAAAATCAGAGATGGAGAGCAAATTTTAAAAGGTCTAGGAAAATCTCAAGCTAAAGGACACATTTTTGATAATTCAAAGAACAACGTAATAGAAATTAACACATTCAGCACATTGAGTTTGTGCATTTACAAAAGTTAAAAAAAATATTTAAAAGAGATCTACTTATAAAATGTGGCACTAAAAATCTTCTTATATACATCATGCTACTATTTCAAGGAAAATTATTTATAAACTGGTGAGACCTGTGCCCAAACCCACTGTTATTAATGACTCAAAGGAAAATGAAACAACAATTACCTAAAGCAAAGTTTTGGATATTGGGTGATACAAATAGCAGTAAATACCTCAGCAGGCCTTAGTCTTATGACTAGGCCCTACATTYCTTCTTCAATTTTTATTTCCTGTCTCATAAGCAAAATCATTGCTTGACTCACAAAGACAATACAAGATTAGGTCATATATCTCACATTACACACACAAAAAAAGGAATATTCATGATACAGAGTGGTCTAGAGTTTTGATATGATCAAAGAGGGATACCTGATCTCATTAACATTGAAACTCTGCTTTCTTCACTGATGATTTTTGAAGAAAGTACAAATAAAGTATTTCATATCACACATTTTACATGACTATGATAACACAATACACGCCACCATGTCTGCCAATGGTGCTCTCTGAAACATTTCTGAAGAAGGTGACAGGAGGCTGTAGATTTCTTGGAATTATATATCCTATAATTTTTAGATATGTGCCATAGTAGTGAGGATCTGATTTAGTCTGTATGACATAATGTGATAAATTGTATCATAATTCTAGTTAATAAATCTGTTAGTGGAACACAAAAAGATTTACCACTTCATTTTTTTTTTTTTAATATTCTTGCACAGATCCTTTCTTTTATATATGAAATACCTGTTGTGCCTGACCTAGAGTATCTTCCTTTTGGGAACTACAACATTACTAAGATATCAGAGAGCATCAGGAAATAAACGTAATTTTTAAATGAGATAAAAACATAAGATAAAATGGATAACAGCCTAAAAATTCTAATAATGCTAAGAAAAATCTGACATGCATTGATAAAATGGTTTTATAAAATGCAAAAAAAATATGTTTCAAGGTAAGAAATATTTCTGTAACAGCTGTGCTCTTTTTAATATCTTGCTAAATAAAGCATACAAAATGATCAATATATCTGTGAATCATTTTGTTTAGTGAACATGCATGAGGTTCATAGAGATACTGAATACAGCATTTTAGATGCTATTGTACATTTTGATGGCTCAAAGAATTAAGCTTTTTGTTCTTTTGCTGTGTTGTCAGAGCACACAACTTTTGTTGTGTTGCTTACCACAASAAAAACTTTTTCTACCCCTTTTTCTGCACTTCTCATGTCTTATTTTCTCCCTCGAATTCCCACCTTGAAGTCAATATTCATTATCTGGAGCTTCTACTRTTCAAGACTGCTCCAGAGACATCACTGCCAGGTAAGAATAACCCAATTGCATCTATCCCATATTCCAAATAAGAAAATAATGGATAAATAAGAGGGGTTTCCAAATAATAACCCAGAATATCACATCTAGATTTTCAGTTCAGCCCCAAAATGCACTTCATAGCAGTAAGAATGTACAATATCATGATCTGTTAGTACTCGTGCGTTCATGGATGCCTCCCGCTACGCACCTCAGGGAGCAAACCTCCTAAAGTGGGAAGTGTCTGTTGGAAAAAGAGAACGTTAGGCTGCAGCACCAAACAGCTGGGATGGCAAAGGGCACGGACAGAGTCTTCACAAAGAATGTTACCATGCAGCAGTCGTACTTAACAAAAACATACTTTTTTATACTTTTGCACAAGTGTGCTTTCCCGATGTTTTGGCTGTCATATTATATAATTTATACTCTGGAAAGTAYGTGTGGGACCATTTTAACACCAGAAAACAATAGTAGAAAACCTGAGGACTTTATTATTTTGAATAGCAAAAAGAGATACTTGATACGTGGAGAGCTATTTTTATTTTGYCTTCCAAGTCTTTGAATCCTCATCCAAATCAAGAAATCTCATTTAAAAAGCCTTCTTCTGCTACAATTAACAGGTTATACATCATTAATCCTCAAAAACTACTTACATTCTTTCTTGACATAGAGAATATTTTCCTTTACGCAAAACACTAACATTTAGAAATATCATGCTTTATCACAGCTGTTAGGACAAAACAGATGAACAGTAACTAAAGGCTCACTAAAGAGTTATCTCTCYACATTTTAACTGCTGGCACAGAATCCAAAGCTTATGAAGCAAAAATTCCTTTTTCTCACCTTGCCTTTTAATCAATAACTGCAAATATATTTTACTGGATTATTTCCTAGATTATTTAAATCAACGTGTTTTATAACATGAAACACCAATTCACTTATACATTATATAGGACTGCAAAGTCATTAGTAAATGCTTAATATCATTATACAGTTTTCCAGGTGACTACTAARAATTTGAGATTACTTCTGTATGATAATTAGTTATTTTATAAGATGCATTTTCAGATGAAGCATATATCCTATTTGGCCACGGGGTTGCATAATGAGAGAACTATGTTTTTATGTTATTATGCACAAACTGAAATAGATATTTTAAAAAATCTTATTCTAGAACTCCAAAATTTGAACGTAAAAAATACAGATCAAAGCAATTTGGTAATAGAAGATCAGATGAAATGCATGGAATACCACGTACGTGTATCCTCAAATGGCTGCAAGATGAAGGCCATGGAAGTTTAAATATGTGACTTGAAAACAAACCAGATGCTTTGGGTTTTTTTTTAAGGAACTTGAAAGGAGGTTGCTCCATGATTCATTACAGCTATTTTGTCTAATGACATGGGAATCTTTAAGGATATAATAACAACAAAAACAACAATAATAAAAAATATTAGAATAGGTACTCCTAGTCTTTAATTGTCTAAACTTCTGTGGCATTCAAGACCATGCTTACAAAAATACCATTCCATGCAATTTCGGTCCATAATTATACAACAATCAAAGAGAATTAAAGATTCAAAT